CAGATAGAGTACACAGGGATCAGATCGACTGCATCTGTGGAAAAAAGTGATGGAGAAGAAGCTCAGTGTCTTCAGCCAAAACAAGGTCTGGAGTTGACTGTGGAACAGACCATCAGTTGCTCATATGCAAGTTCAAGTGGAAGCTAAATACAATTAAAACAAGTCTACGAGAGCCAAAATATGACCTTGATTATATCCCTCCTGAATTTAGAGACCATCTAAAGAATAGATTTAATGCATTGAACACCAATGACCAAAAACCAGAGGGATTGTGGGATGACATCAAGAACATCATCCATGAAGAAAGCAAAAGGTCATTAAAAAGCCAGGAAAGAAAAAGACCAAAATGGATGCCAGAAGAGACTCTGAAACTTACCCTTGAATGGAGCATATCTACAGCAAATGGAAGAAATGACAAGATAAAAGTAGTGAATAGAAGATTTCAAAGAGCAGCTCAAGAAGACAAAGTCAATTATTATAAGGATATGTGCAAAGATCTGGAGTTAGAAAGTCAAAAGGAAAGAACACACTTGGCATTTCTCAACTTGAAATAACTGAAGAAAAATTTAAGCCTCGAGTTGCAATATTGAAAGATTCTATGGGCAAAATAATGATGCAGGAAACATAAAAAGAAGATGGAAGGAATACAGAGAGTCACTGTACCAAAAGAAATGGCCAGTGTTCATCCATTTCAGGAGGGATCATATGATCAAGTACCAATGGGTTTTTTTCTTTTTTTTTAATCTTATTGTGATTTGGATGAAAATTTACAGAACAAATTCATCTTCCATATAGCAGTTCACATACACTTTGTCTTATAACATTGACTGTAATCTTCCACAATGTAACAACTCTTCTCCCACTTCTTCCCCATAGCCACCTCTTCCCTATGTCCTTCCCTCTCATGCGCTCCTGCCCCTGGAGTTGTCTTCCTGTGCATTCACAGCCCTTCTATTCTCCCATGATCGATCTCTCCAAGGAGTGTATCTACCTAATGTAAATGTTCAGCTCATATACCTGTCTTTTGTTTGACTATAAGCCACAGGAGTGAGTTCAATTCCAGACCTGAAGGGCAACTAGGGGCAGTAGTCTCTGGGGTTCCACTAGGATCTATCAGACCAGCAAACCTGACCAAGTACCAGTAGTATTGAAGGAAGAAGTTGAAGATGGACTGAAGGAATTGGTGAAGAACAAGGCTCCAGGAATTGATGGAATACCCATTGAGATGTTTCAACAAACAAATGCTATACTGGAGGCACTAACTTGTCTATGCCAAGAAATTTGAAAGACAGCTACCTGGTCAACTGACTGGCAGAAATCCATATTTGTACATGTGGTAGTTATGTTTGTGTGTCAACTTGTCTGGGCTGGTTGAGTGGCTGGGCAGCTTGTGGTAGTTATTCCCCATGATGAGACTGGCAATCAGCTCCATGGTGGGATCTACCACAAGCAGCTGAGTAGCTATGGTCTGTTGCCTGTATATAAGGAGAAGCCTTGGGAATAGTCCCTAACATATGGCACACTTGGACCCTGCGTGTAGCCGTGTCATTGCTCAGCAGCCTGCCATGCTCTGCCGATGTTGAGACTTACAGTGGATTTAAGTTAATGGCCTGCTGTGTGGTTTGGTAACATCGGGACTGTGCCTTTTTACTTGTCAACTTTGGGGCTTCTCAGCCTCAGCAGCCAGCAGCTGTCTGAGTGAAGAAA